CGCAGCCGGCGGGGGGGGCCGAGCGAGAGCGATCCGGCGACGGGTAGGAGGGCACGTGCGCGGGGCGGGGCGGCGCCGGCGGAGGCGGCGGAGGCGGGGAGGGCCTCCGGGGAAGAGAAGAAGAGGAGCCTCCCGGGAAACGGCGGCGGGGCGGAGTCAGCGCTGCGCATGCGCGCCCCCGTCAGCCTCGGTGAGGCCTTTGGGCGGGAAGGAAATGTCGTCGATTTTTCACGTTTTTATTTTATTTGGATTTGTATCCCGCCCTCCCCTTAAGGGGGCTCAGGGCGGAGCGTGGGATACAAATCCAAAAAAACTCAATATAAATAGAGTACAACAATATCACTACAATACAGGGTTTTTTTTTAGGTTTTTGTGTTATCAGTCTGTCACTGAACCTTTTTTTTTTTGAATTTTATTTTCAATTCACAAGAATATATACATAAATTTATTTAGTATTTATACATTTCTTAAAAATAATGTCCCTCTTTCTCGTTCCTAATCTATTAATTTTAACTAGCATAATCGCAGAACTATTCTATCTTCTTCGATTTCAGTCAGGCATAGATAATCTTCCATCTGTCCCAAAAAATGTCCTCTGGCTTGTTGTTCAAAGCTACACTCAATTTGTCCATTTCCGCTATATCCAGAATCTTGTATTTGAGTTCTTTTATAGATGGTATGGCTTTCGACTTCCAACATTTAGCTATCAAAATTCTTGCTGCTGTTGATACATAGATTATTATATGCTTGTGGTCTTTTATATTATCCGGAATCATATTTAGCAAATATATTTCTGGCGTTAGTGGGATGTTAATTTTAAATATCTCTAAGAAAATTTTGTATATTTTTTTCCAAAAAGATTGTATTTTACCACACCACCATATGTGTAGTTATGATCCTATATTCTTTCCGCATCTCCAACATATATTTGAAGCTTTCGGAAAGCATTTAGCAACTTTAACCGGAGTCCAATGCCATCTGTAAAACATTTTGTATATATTTTCTTTATATGCCGTCGCTCTCATATATTTTATTGATCTCCATGTTTTAAACCACTAGTCCATTTCTAATGTATATCCTAACTCTTTTATCCAGGCTACTATTGAATTTTTAATAGTTTCTTCTTGTAGCTCCTCCTCTAACAGCTTTATATATAGTTTCTGAATTAACTTATCGCTGGAAGAAAGCCACATTTTATCACTTCGTTAGGGTAGTGTAAAAACCTATTTTTTATCTTCCGAGTATCTTGATTTTAATACACTTTTTCCCCACCAAGACAGTTCTGTATTTTGTTTTTTTAATATCTCGTCTGTTTTCAGTTTGGCTTTCTTATTTAGTAGGTTGCCATACATTTCTTTAATTTCTCCCATTATCTTTGACAGTTTCTAACGGAGATAGCCACAGAGGGGTTTTAATGTAAAATTTATGTTTTATTATGTTCCAGATTTTCATAAGGGCACTTCTTATTATGTGTATATGAAAGTTGGCATGGATTTTATCCTTTCCTTACCATATGCACGCATGCCATCCCATTAGCAAGTCTGCTCCTTCTAACGCTAGGATTCTCACATCTTTTAATTCAACCCACTCTTTAATCCATGTCATTGCTGCAGCAAAATAGTACAGCTGCCAGCTGGGCAATGCAAAACCTCTCTCTTTACTGTCCTGAAGGTCCTACAATACAGTTAAAACCATGTTGACACATAGAAAACTCTTATGAAAAAAGCCAAAATCGCTTCAGTGCTGGGAATAAATTCCTCAGAAATCTTTTTATTTTATTTTACTTATTCCTTAGATTTCTATCCCGCCTTCAGGGCTCAGGGTGGCTTAAAAAGGTAAAGGTTCCCTTGCTCGAAAGCCAGTCGAGTCCGACTCTAGGGTTGCGGTGCTCATCTCCGTTTCAAAGCTGAAGAGCCAGCGCTGTCTGAAGACATTTCCGTGGTCATGTGGCCAGCGTGAGTAGACGCTGAGGCGCACAGAATGCATCTCAGACCCAGGCTATGAAACGGGGCCAACCCAAGCTGTAAAAAAGGGAGGGAGGGGAGGGACACCCCCTGCCTCAACCACAAGAGGGGGGGGGAAGAGCTCCATCTTGCAGGCCCTGCGGGATTGCAATAAGTCCCGCAGGGCCCTGATCTCACTCTGGAGCTGGTTCCACCAGGCAGGGGCCGGGGACCACCAGAAGATGCTGATTGGTGGTGGACCTCAGTGCTCTACGGGGTTCATATGGGGAGAGGGGGTGTCCAAGGTATGCTGGCCCCAGATAGGGATACCCCCCCCAGAATTCCTCCCCCTGGAGAAAACGGGTGCTTTGGGGGGGGATTCCTTGGCACCATGCCCGGCTAACATCCTTGCCCTCCCCAGGCCCCACCCCCACATCTCCAGGAGGTCCCCCATCCTGGATCTGGCAGCCCTTTATTTCATTTCCGCCCCACCCTCCCTGCCTTGGCAGGCTACGGGCAGTTTACACGGGATTTTACACACCTAAACCCAATCTAGGTAGAATCATAAATGAGAACATCGCAAAGTGCCGGTGCCCCAATGGTGGTTCATATCTCGGATGGCGGGCAGAGGTGGCAACCAGACAGACAGACAATTGGCTACCATCCCAGCCTGGGTGATGCAGGCTGTTAAATGATGATGTTAACATTGATGCTGATATGCTGTTGAAGGCTTTCACCACCGGAGTTCATTAGCTGTTGATTTTCTGGGTTGTCTGCTGGCCACGGTCTTGGCATTGTAGGACCTGAGGGAAGGTGGGGCTGAGTCATTATCTTGTAGCAGTTCCTCCATTAGCATGTTCACAGCCTGGGGAACTCCTACAAGATAATGACTCAGCCCTACGCCACCTTCCGGAGTAGATATAAATTACCTGCCTACCATTTTTCTTCTCACCTTGACACAAGAGAGTCCTCCATCTTCCTGTGTGATACCTCTGAGGATGCCAGTCACAGCTGCTGGCGAAACCTCAGGTCCTACAGTGCCAAGACCGTGGCCGCACAGCCCTGAAAATCTACAACAGCTAATTGATGTTGATGTTAGCATTGGGGTCTGGGCCTCCGTTTGTAGGGTGCGGCTCCCACAGGCCCTGCGGAATTGTAAGCGCTCCCGCAGAGCCCTAATGTCTTCCAGGAGCTCCTTCCGCCAGGGCGGAGCCAGGCGATTTGGGGACCCCGACCTTAGTGCTCCACTCCGGGGAAGGTGTGGGGACCCAAATCCCCAACCAGTGACCAGAAGGGGTGGGGGTGGACCAGGCAAACAGCGCTTTCTCTCCCACCCACCCCCAAGTGAAGCAGCAGCCGAGGGGCAGCAGGCGCAAAGGCAGACAAGAGGAAACACTCCCTTTACACAGCGAGCGGTTCCAGTGCGGAACCCGCCGCCAGAGGCTGGAGCGCCGAGAATCCAGGGGCAGCCTCGGCGTCCCAGGTGTGCACGGCCAGAATTCAGCGCTGGGCACCTGGCGAGAGCCTGCTCCGCTTTTGCGCAGCTCAGGCTCCGCCGAAAGGTCCTCCGCGGCACTGAGGCTGCTGGCGCCGACCTCC